AGAGGGCTTAGCACTTCATTTTGGGCCTGTTGTCTTAACACACCTTAATAACCAAATCATACCATAACACAGATTTTTTTCATCTAACTGCAATTAGCTCTGTTAAATTACTTAAACTTCGAGGCCATTAGACTGATGTGGCTCCGATCCTGGGACAGCCTATATAAGTAAGCAAATGAAAACCTAAGCCTGTAAGTGCCCCCAGGTTACAAAATCAAAATGCTCCGGCCATCCAATCACAAACAGCCAACTGGAATTTAACCGATGACTAATCAATAATTTCCTTATTTCCTTCTCTTCTCTGTAAAAGTATCTCCCCCCAGCTCCTGTCAGGAGAGTGCTCCTAACCACTTTCAGTTTGCAATTACCCCATTTGAATCACTTCTTGCTCAAATAAACCCTTATAATTCTTAATGTGCCTCCGTGTATCTTTTAACAGCTCCAAATTACTTTTTATTATTTTTCTGCACTCTCCTTTGATATGTAAGCTTCCGGTTCATAGCCCTGTGTCTGGCAATAATCTTTCCCACATCTTATTTGGTAATCCTAATCCACTGTGGGAGGAGAAACAAGATAACTGAGCAATTGAATTGGTTAGAATAAGCTTCTTGCTTTTAAGTTCCTTGGCTTTAACAGATCCACTAAATTCATGATGAAGGAGAAGCCTTTTAAACTTCCTGTTTGTGGCACTGTTTGTCATGGCTACAGAGGCTGAAATTCTAGCTGAAACCAAGTAGTATGTAAACTATGAGATTTTACTATGCTAATGTCATTTCCTTCGAGACTAGATGAGCTAATAAGGGAAATCCTTCTACCTAATATACTTGCCTTGAGGAGGGGCTACTTCTGAAATAGTTAAAACATAGTCTTTGGGGTTCAAAAGCCTTAATTATGAGCTCCAGTTCTGCCATTTAGTGTCATGTGAGTTTAGGCAAGACACTTCAATTTACTGAACACAATTATCTCATCTGTAGCCTAGGACAGAGATAATTGACTCTAATAGAGATGCTGTAAGGATTAAATAATATAACATATTAATTATACTGCCAAATAGCAGATAGGTCACACACAATAAGCAATAACAAATTTAGATTCTTATAATGCTAATGAAGACTTTTTATTGTAGTAGACATCCCTATACGCATACTTTAAAAATTGTCTGAGGTTTTTCTACCTTGCTTTATATGAGTTAGCACTGTATCAAATGAATGTGTCATCATGAGTGTGGTAAAACTCTGAAAGCCTGTAAAACTTCCTTTTAATTAATGTATTTAAAGGAAATAAATTGGTCATTTTGCCCAGGAGGATGCTAAAAACCTCCACTGAGGCCTGTTTATCCTGATAATAAATGGGTTCCATTTAATAATTATTTAAACCTAATTTTGACTAATTTTGCAAAATTACTTTATGTATTTTGGAATTGGTGGCTATACTTTTCATTCACTGTTCTTTCATGGACTTTTCAGAAAAAATAACTGGGAAGATATTTTAGTAGGAAAATTATAACTTTGATGTAGCCTATATCACTGATTTAATGTAAAGCTTTATTTCACTATTGATGGTAGAAGTAGTTGGAAAATCTTAAAATTTTGCTATGCAATCTGACCTTTGCAACACCCCCAAAATGGAATGCTTATATGCCATGCTTAAATTCCAGTTTACAATATTATGCCATTCTTTTTCAGTGAAACATATTCATTTTAGACCACTGTAAGCTTGACACCTGATTTCATTTTAACAGCACCTGCCCAGAGCATAATTAGCAGTCCGTTTCTGAAAAAGGACTTCCATACTGCACAGATGGCATTCCTCATACCAGACAAGCAACAATGTATGTTTGGAAGCCAGCCAAACTGTCTGCAAAAAATTGTGAGAATTTCAAGACAGGCATCTGAGCAAAAGGAAAAATTTCCCTTTTCTCTCAAACCATAAATGAGCATCTGTTAAAGCCTATTCTCCTTAACTTTTCTATTTAGTCTCATCTGACTTGATACATTTTTTGCGCAATTTCAAAGACTACAACCAAACTTGTTTTGGCTTGTGACACCCTGATAATGGCCATTAAAAACATATTTCAGAGCTACATTTTCCAAGTAATTGAGATTTACAGGTATTTCTTTGAAGAGATTTATTCAACAAATATTTACTGATTGCTACAACCTGTCAAGAGCAGAGTCAGTGTTCATAACTGTGCACATTATGCACTGCATATCTCCAGGGGGTGTCCTTCGCCTCACAAGAACCATATAGTTTTACAATGATCTCTATGGTCACCAGGTGTTAGCATCCTAATATTTTGAGGCAGGAGTGCCATTTTCTAATTCACAAAAATTCAAGATAGAGGCTGGTGGTGGGGCATACAGGGACTGTTCAAGATGTTAGAGACACAGCAATGAACACAGCAAAGTTCCTGCTCTCATGAAGGCTGAAATCAACAAAGAGAGGAGCTAAGAAGAAAGTTACCTAAAGTTAACAAGAAAAAACAGTATTACTTAAAGGGGTAGAATGTGACAAGTAGTGCCATTTTATTTAAGAAGATCAAGGGTTGCCTAAGAGGAAGTAGAGACCTAAAAGAAATGAAGGAATAAGTCCAAGATAATAATATGATGGAAAAGCATTCCAGGCAGAGGGACCAGGGAATGCAAGACCTAACTGAGAAGAGTACTCAGCGTGGCCAAGGGTAGGCAGGAAGCAAGAGTGATGGGAGCTGAGGCCATGCAGAGGAAGGACTGGCAGACAAGAGGGGTCTCCAGTTTGTGGTCTGATCTGACTGTCTTGAAGCCCAGGTAAGGGTTTTGATGTTTATTCTAAGCCACTGGAGTGCTCGCTTCGGCAGCACATATTCTAAGCCACTGGAGTGTTTTGCGTAAAGGAGGGACATGATCTGATTGCCTTTTTAAAATGTCTACAAGTGTTTCATTATGGACAACAGCTTTCACCTGAAATGTTACATTTGCAAAGTCACCATGAACCGATTATTAATCTGATTTGCATTTTAAAGGAACCACTCTGGTTCCTTCTGTGTGAAGAATTGATTACAGCAGAAGAAAGGAAACAAGGAGGACAGCTATTTTCATGAGTCAGGATTCCCTAAAGGTTTAAGTGGGCTCTGTACAAGACCAATTCTTCTAACCTCCTGCCCAGGGAATCACCTACAATGTCAAATGTTGTTTGACAAAGAATCACTGTTTTGTATGGCTTTATTCATGAATTTTTTAACTGCAGATGACCTTTCTTTAACCTGGAACATGTTCATCAAAATTATTTTGAACACCTTTAAAATTATCTTTTATAAAATTGATTAGCAAGAATAACACAGAAAACTAGAGGTGTACTCAAATTTCTAAAAGAATGACTTACGAGAAACTTTTATGACCTAGTAAAATTCCATGTAATTGTCTAACAAACTTTTAAAATATACGTATTTTCAAAGAAACAGCAATAAAATAATAACTAGTGATGTAGGAAAGATGTTAGGGTTTGAAGCCAATGGCCAAGAAAGAACTCTTGAAACATCTTTGGGGCAAAAAGGTGATTTTATTAAAGCACGGGGACAGGACCCATGGACAGAAAGAGGTGCCCCGGGGTCATGAGGAGTGGCCCATTATATACTTTCAAGTTGGGAAGAGTTAGGGATAGAGTAAGTCTCTAAGAAATTTTGGAAGTAAGGTTTCCAGGACCTTGACAGGGCTAGCTATTGTTGGGAAAAGGTCATTTATTACTGTTTAATAAACCCTGAGGCATGAGACCCTTTCGATGTATATCGGTGGGTCATATGCTTGGGGGATGATTGCCAAAATGATTCTTGGGGAAGAGAGATAAAGGGATTTTCCAAAGGAATTTTTATATGTTAGAGTAGCCTAACAGGATCCTGGGAGGAGGGCTAGGATTGCCTCTTGCCCTTAGCAAAGTATTAACATTGAAGCAGCTGAGTCCCTAGAAGAATGACAGTCTGCCTGTTTCAAGGACTTGTCAGTGGGGCATAAGTAGTAAGGAAATTCTTCTTTTGCCTTTGTTTCCTCCATCCGTGATCAAAATAAATTTCCAAATATGGAGTGTAAATGGTAAGAATCATGGGTTTTGCTACAGTACCTTGAAAATCTGCTGGCAGAAATAAAATGATAGTTGAAAACACAGAAATGGTGGGTCATAAATGTCAGCCAGGCCTTGTTAAGTGCTCCCTCTCTTTAAGATGATCCAGGTGCAGCTATGTCTGCCCCTACCCAGCACTCAGGGGCTATAAGTGAGTTTCTGCATTGACCAAATGGAATAAGTACACAAAAATGCTGAATACACAATCAATCCAAATGTGATTTAAGGTTTAGAAATATGCTAACAAAAATCAGTAACGCTGTAAAGAAAATGATGGAGCAGAGCGTTACATATAATTAGTATGCAAATATTTGTTGACTGAATTAGTGAACTGAATTGAATCGACATTAACCAAATATTTGCTAAGGTAATCTGGAAAAATCATTTAAAGAAAATTTAAGGTAGGGGCACCTGGGTGGCTCAGTCGTTAAGCGTCTGCCTTCGGCTCAGGTCATGGTCCCAGGGTCCTGGGATCGAGCCCCGCATCGGGCTCCCTGCTCGGCGGGAAGCCTGCTTCTCCCTCTCCCACTCCCCCTGCTTGTGTTCCCTCTCTCGCTGTGTCTCTCTCTGTCAGATAAATAAATAAAATCTTAAAAAGAAAGAAAGAAAGAAAATTTAAGGTAAAATTACTTTGAATAAGTTCTTTTATTTACAGACGTCTCCCTTTAGCCACAGGGGCTGCATTCCAAGACACCCAGTAAATGTCTGAAACTGCCCTATCAAACCCTACACATATACTATGTTTCTTCCTATGCATACGCAACTGTGGTAAATTTCAACCTTGTCAGTTAGGCCTGACAAGCGATTAACAGTAAGTAATAATAAAATAGAAGAATTTTAACAGTATACTGTAATAAAAGTTATGTGAATGTAGCGTCTCTCAAAACATCTTGCTATAGTGTACTTACCCTTCTTGCCACGTCGGGAGATGGTAAGACGCCTACGTAAGGAGACAAGCGGGGTGAGTGACGTAAGCACTCTGAGGTAAAGTTAGGCTACTATTGACCTTCTGATGATTCGTCAGAAGGAGGAGCATCTGCTTCCAGACCCGAAGCTGCCGGGATGTCCTGGAAACTGCGGAAAGCAAAACCGCGTAAGGGGGGCCTACTGTACTAATTCTGTAATATCAGAAAATCAACGTACAATACAATGTTGGCAAATCCAAAGAAAATTAAACCGTGCCCTCAAGAAAGTGAAAGCCATGCAAATAATTTACCAGCATTAGCAGTTTGATTTTAAATACATAATGTAGGTGCGACATTTCATCGAACTGGTCAAGTAGTGATGTATTTTCAAAATTAACATTTGTACTAAACATAAAAAACGAAATAATATTTAATGTTTTCAACTATCAATATCACACATATGAAAAAACACAATCTATGTTTAAATAATTTTAGGAGAGTGTAATTATTCCTAAGCCACGTGATTCCTTTTTCATTTAAATCTGTTTACAGCAGTTCATTTGCTCATAAGGGACAGAAATATGAAGTACAGCCCAAACCTGATATTACTATTTACTCAAATCACTGTATCTCTCCTTATATGAAGTGGGTATGATAATAATTTGTACTTGCAAATTCATTCTTTTTGGAAGTTTTTGCTGGAAATCGTATCTTTTAAGAAGATTTTATTATTTATTTATTTATTTATTATTTATTTATTTGAGAGAGAGAGGGTGTGCACACACAAGAGAGGGGGGAGGGCTGGAGGGAGAGAGAGAATCTCGAGAAGACTTCCTGCTGAGCAGGGAGCCAGATATGGGGCTCAATTTCAGGACCCTAAGACCAGGACCTGAGCGGAAATCAAGAGTTGGAAGCTTAACTGACTGAGCCACCCTAGTGCCCCTGGAAACCATCTTTAACAATAGTAAACAATATTTTAATGGGAATTTACTGAGCTAGTTGGATACATTGTGATACAATCAAAATTTTTCTTGATTGTTTTCTTTTCTGTGGTTTGAAACTGGATTTGAATAAAAGCTATTGAGGAGAAAAATAAGCTATAAAAGAAAAACTGTACCCTTAAAATATTTAACCATTTTAAATGTTAAGATGAGAATATTATAAAAATATATAATAGAGAATTACCTAAAGAAAAACCATATTTAAATCCTGAAATACGTATATAGGTTTGCAGATCTTTTTTCTGGAGTCATTTTATTCCTTTGTCTACTACCTCTAGCATTATTTTGCAAGAACTGAAAGCAGAAATGTTGAGGTATCCATGAGAACGGCTGTTCTTCAATATTCTCCTCAGCTTTAGGTAGGAAATAGGGAAACATAATGAGAAACCCCACTTTTATAAAACTTTTATAAATACTCTTATAACACTTTGTTCTTGCAAATCAATGCTGCACATTCCTAATATGCATATATGACTTGGAATGTTTTGAATATCAAACTAAATGTTAAGTTCTAAATAGCTATGAATTTATTTTTATTTATAGATTGCATTTTACTGAAAAAATAAAACAAAAGGAGCTGCCAAGAAAATATAATTACAGTATCCCCCAAATGGTTCAAAGAACTACACCAATTAAGTATTCATGCTTGATAGCATTGTAAACTACCTACCACTGACCTTAAATATTAACTGAATTTTCTTAATGACACTTTATTAGAAATTTATTAGAAAATAAGTCATGGCATAAGTGACTTATAAGTGACTTATTCTTAAAAATCATCAGCCTAAGTATATTTAGAAATTAAGGTGAAAACATATTATAATAAATATTTCTAGTCACTAACCTGATACTCTACTGTCTTGCTACTGTTTTTATTTTAGTTCCATAGTTTCTTCTCAACTTTCCTAAGAAGAAAATTAGCATTTGCCATTATAATTATGCTAGTAATTTTTAAAAAGGTTATTGGAAACCAGTAGCTAGTAATTTTTAAAAAGGATTGGAAACAAGTAGTATTAAAAACGTAAAATATTTATTCTTATAATTTACTTTTTCTATCTGCCCTTTAATCTCATCCCATTATCCTAAGAAAAGCTGTTACTGAATTTTATGAGTCATTACTACATTTATTTTATGTAATCATTCAAGAGTGTATTAAAACTGTGTTGGTGTTATTTTGAGTGCATGTAGTTCTTTTAAAAAAAAGGAGGGGGCTGGGACTTAGGTCTTAGGTCTCTGAAAGGGAAAACATATGCTGACAACCCTAGGTAAATACGGGAAATAAGGGGTAATTGGGGTCGTGTTAATAATGAGTTAAAATATGTGGATCAGCTTTTGGAAAAACTTCGTAGTGTTCATCCTTCTGAATCCTGCTGGAAAAATCGCTCTCACCATGATTCCATACTATTTTCAGAGAAAGGTACTTTCATGATATTACAAATTTCCACAGAGCTACAAGTCTGAGACAGAAATACATGAAAAGGGCATTATGTGAAAAGATACCATGGCAAGCCAGGGTCCTAGTGTAGAATAAAAACAAGTAGAATTCTTTCAGATTTTGCCATATCTGGAGTAAATTAAACTTGATAGCACGTGAGAATATCTTAAATTTCCTCAGAGGATTTTAATTCTAGAATGATGTTAAGTTATTATCTAGCAAACCTGTGTGCCACTTTTTAGATGGAAGAATACAAAAATACTCCAGAAAGATAGCAAGTTCTAATTAAAATTAATCTAGCCTGCTTGTTTACTTGTCGATGTGTTATCATTGTGCTAACATGTTCCAGCATTTAATATGGTGATCATTTTAATCTATTATGAATAAAATGATGCCCCCTTTTGGTCAGCCAGTGGTCCTTCCTGCCTAGTGATTCTTCATGGTCTCTGGAGTCAAATTTCATTACATCATTTTAGAGGAGCTCACAATTCTCTAATAAAGTCCACAATACAAATGCCTCACATTTCCTGTCATATCTATTCAGAATCACTTTTTCCTACTTCATTTATCATACAAAATTGTAATTCTTATCTCTTTCTCTTTGGCCACAACCCTTAGCTCTCTCTTTAGCTACTCCTAAGCAGTCTTTTCCTCTTATTTCTGGAAATTATTTTCCTGCCGCAATGAATTATCCTCCACTTTGTCCCTATTGAACTCAATTCGATTTATATCTTCCCACTTCTCCAATTTGTCAAGATGTTTTGAATTTAAATCTTACAATAAAGAAAGTCAGTCCACCCAAGTAGATGTCATCAGTACAAATATACTTTGTATTCATTCAAGTGATTGATAGAAGAGTGTTTGTTTTTTGCCTGGAAGGTGTCAGTGTAAATGGTCTTCACCCCCAAAGTTAATTTAGAAATGTTGCTAACTGCTGTGATAAAATTTATTACACAAAGGAAAAAAGTGATATAAACAATCTAATTTTTAAAATTTATTGAATACTCTATCATGCTAGACTAAGTAAATTGAGATCAATCAAATCTTTTTTTTTTTTTTTTTGGTCAATCTCACCATTCTAAAGCAATTGAAATTAAATAATGAGGTTTTGGAAATTTTTACTGATTAGTTTTCTCTGTTTCTATTTTGGATTACTTAGGGGGGAGAGGGAGCTTCTGGGTATTTCTAAACATTTTAGGTTACAATATGGAACAAATGAAAAAGTGTTATAAAGTTATCAGTAGGACTTAGATCTCTAATGCATGTGCAACCATGCATGAAACAAAATACATTAGTATAATCCTTAACTTCTTACATTGGTAATTTCCATTAGGACTAAGAATTTGGATTAGCCTATTTAGCTTATTTTCACATCAAAAACTCTGGATGTTTTAACTTAGGAACAATCAATGGATTCATATCTATTATATGGAAGTTTCAAAATGTGTAACTGTTCCCTTTACCTCATCGTGGCAAATAGTATTACTTTTTCTCCTTTTATTTTCAATTTCATAAAACATAAAAATCTACTTGGCATATTCTTCAAATCAGGAAAATGGTTTAATACATATGTGTTCTTAGATGCTCTTTGATTACCCAAGGATTTATTTTTTTTCACAGTTAAAAAATTCAGAAACCAGAGAAAAAATGTAGATGATTCATTTATTATGATCATCTGGATATACACAAGTGCAGATGAATTTGGGACTTTAAGTATTTACATTAAAACCTGTAAAAATTTAGGAAATCACAGCAGGGAGACCAAAATTATTTACAAAGGATCATTTATTAAACACTTTTTTTTTTTTACAAAATACAAAGATTGTTGTTCTGCATGAATACATCATATATGAAAAAAATAATGCTTTTACTGAATCTCATCTGAAGACTTTCAGAATTTTATCTTCTACCAACTTGAGGAATCAATTTTGCTTTGCAACTTGTCTAATGCCATCACCAATCAAGGGGTAACATTTTTCTTGTTAATTAAATCATATAATAGCTAGCATTTTAAAGAAATAAAATCAGACAAAGTCTGTCAAACAAAGCTCTTTCTGTAAGTTAACTGATTTGCCTATGATCCTAAATTTTTTGTCAAGCTATAAGATAGGAAGAATTGAGGAGCTAGGTAAGTTTTATAATAATGTATTAGCAGCAGTTGATAGAAAATGCAACATAAGATTTGTTTTGTCTGTGGTACAAGAATATGTCCTATCAGACGCTAATGTATTTTCCTCTACTTGAACACAAGTAAGCACGTGCTGATTGTTTCTGGGATGACAAAGTGTATAAACAGACAGGAAGCTGGTTCTGGTTGTCATCGTGAGTGCCTGTTTTCATCAGCTAATATGAATGCATCGCTAAACTTAGTGAAGACAGGAAAATGACTTAAGGGTAATATATACAGAGTTAAAATACATTTTTTATCCACTTAAGAGTGATTTCAGGCACTGTGGCTATTCAGGATAAAATGTTTCATGGTTTATTCTTGATAGCAATTTAATTGTCAGTGCAAGCAAAAGCAAATACCTGCCCACTGTCATACTCATGACCTCGTACATCTGGAATGTTCAAAGCAAGTTCATCTTCTGCATCTTCACTCTGGAGGCATCTTGAATTAAAATGTCTCATAGTTTGCTCTTGATAGCAATTTAATTTTCAGTGCAAGCAAAAGCAAACATACCTGCTTACTGTCACACACACGACCAACATATCTGGAATAGTCAAAGCAAGTTCACCTCCATCTTCACTGAGGAAGCATCTTTCATAAGTGGCACTTAGTGTAAACCCTCTATAAATCAGAAAATGAAAAACAGACTGGAGATGGCTGAATTTAATAATATTAAAAAATCACTGTCATAGTCCTCTCTCTGTGTAAACGATGTTTGAGTAAGGCTTGCCATCACACCATTTCTTTCCTGAGAAGAGAGCTGAGCCTCGCTGTGCATCATAAGTGTGCGTGCTCTGAGCTGTGGTCACTGTCGTGGCTGTCTTCATTTGCTAGAGAGTCCCCTGTCTGCTGGAGGGTGGCTGCCCCAATCCCCGAGAGCTCCGAAGGGAGAAGTGTTCCTTTTTTCACATTCACCAGTTCCTTTTCTCGAGCGGCAGCTCCCTGCTGTCCTCCTTTTACTCTCTTCCATTTCATTCGTCTGTTCTGGAACCAGACTTTCACCTTTAACGAAGAAAAGGAACAAATAAAAGAAAGAAAAAAAGAAAGAAAATGAAATGGCATTTTTTCCCTCCTTTTGGGTCGCCAACGTACAAACAGCCCCTCGAAGACAGGCAAGGACACTGTGAAGGAGTGAATATGAAAATAAACCAGCACTGAATTTAACCAGATCCCATATTTATGATAGTGATTTAAACTTTCAGAAGATGCATACAAAGTACTGTATTTCATATTTTATGACTTGCAATATAAAAAGAATAGATGGGAAAGAACTCTGTCATTTGGGGTTGCTCAAAGGTACTTGGCTTTATAAAGAGTTTCTATGAAGATCAGCTAACATTTTAATAATTATCTTGGTCAAACATTTCTTCCTCTCAAGTTCTTTGACTTGACATCTAGCTGTCAATACCTGAACCAATTTAAAACATCCTCAGCTGTTGGGGAAGCTACATCTTGAAGGACCATTCTGTGCCATTGCATTCACAAAGCTTTATATGACCACACCACCTCAGTGTGAGTTCACCTCAGAAACTTTATATTTCCAACTATATAATATATATATATATTTCACTTAAGCTTTGTAGACATGTTTTCCTTCTAAAATTTAATTGAATTTGCCTAATACACTAAAGTGTATATATAATAAAACAAAACAAAAATAAATAAATAAGCATTAAATGACCATTTATTTTCAGAACCAGAATAAAATTGGCATCATTTCATCTTCTTGTTTTGGAGGAACTTTACGTTCCTTTCACATTGTATTTCTCATCATTGTTTATTCTTATTAAGCTAAGTGGTGCTTTTACATTGCATTGATCTGTCTACTCCACTCAAAGTTACCACAAGCCTGAATTTTGTGCTTATCATCTCTAAACCTTTATATAAAACAAGCAAACAAACATAGACAACAGTTTGTGCACATGTAACCTGAAAAAGTACTGTTTAATTTTGCTTGTCTTTTAGGCTTATCAAAACGGACTGTCTAACTACAGTCTTCTTGACCTACCCATATTGATTCAAGAGACTTTAATCATTCATTCTTTATGATCATATACTATTCAATTGTCTGAATATACCACAGTTTATCCATTCTTCTGTCTGTGGGCACTTGAATTCTTTTTTTTCCCCCTTTTATAAATGATGCTGCTATAAACATTTTCACATTTGTGTTCTGATAAAATATGATAGAACTTCTCTGAGTGTATATCCAGGGATTGCATCAATGGGTCGCAGAGTATATGAACATTCAACTTAACATGATAATACAGAAAAACTGTTTTCCAAAGCTGCATCAATTTACCCCCCACATACATACATACAGTCCACTGTGTAAGAGTTGTTATTGATCCACATCTACATCAACATTTGGAGTTATTTGGAGTTACCAATTTTTTTCCAATGTGACTAAAAATGTTATCTTACCATGTTCCTACTTTGCATTTCCTGGTTACTAATGAAGTAAAATATCTTTTTAAAATAATATTATTTATTTATTCGAGAGAGAAAGCACAAGCAGGGGGAGCAGCAGAGGGAGAGGGAGAAGCAGGCTCCTGGCTGAGCAGGAAGCCAGAGGTGGGGCTGAATCCCAGGACCCCGGGATCATGACCTGAGCCAAAGGCAGCCGCTTAACCAACTGAGCGACCCAGGCATCCCTGAAGTAAAACTTCTTTAAAATGATGCTTAAATCTTCTTTTGTGAAATGCCTCTGGTATGTCTTGTTTGCATTGAATTCTTTTTAATTTTTTCTTTACAGACTTTTAGAAAATGTTCTGAATGCTAAATTAATGCTTTGCACTTATATGGCTGCTACTATATTCTCTCAATTTATAGTCTTTTTCCTTTCCTTAAAGTGCCTTTTGATGATTGGAAACCCTAAAATTTAATATACTCAAATTTATCAATTGCTATCACTTTTACATCTTCATTAAGAACCCTCTTTCTCTCAAGGTCATTAAGATATTCTTCTATGTCTTCTTCTAAGAGTTTTGAGGTTTGCATTTCAAATTGAAGTGCTTAATTCATGAAATAATTCATGAAATTCAAAGAAAAGATCTAAATTTTCTTTATTCCATATGTATAACAAGTTGCCCAAAACTATTTATTAAAGAGTCCACCGTTTTTCCAGTGATCACTCTTTCAACTCCGTCATAAATCAAGTTTCCATGTATGTACAGCTTTATTGATGCACTCAATTTTTCTAACTCTATGACAAAATCACAGTCTTAATTATTAAATTTCATAATAAGTCTTTATATCTGGTAGAAATAGTTCTGTTTTAGTCTACTTCAGGAATATTTTGAATATCCTCCATTTTCATTTAAAAACCAGTATCAGTTTCTGTAAATGCACAGTGCTAAAGAGAAGGTGACGAGAAATCTATTAAATTTCCAAAAATGTATTTATTTTAGTGGTCTTCAAATCACAATACTCCATCAAAAGTAGTACAGTTTCCTCAGATGTTCGCATCAAAAATAAACAAACAAACAAACAAATAAATAAGACATTTCTCAACTCTGGATTTTCATTGGCCTATGAGGCCATAATTGAACTCTTATAAATATACATTACTCTAAATATATATTAATCCATTTGACAATTTAAAAAATAAGAAAATGTTGAAAAAGATTGATTAAAAACTCAGAAAATGTAATAAAAGAAGATTGGTTAAAAACTAGCTGATTGGGCTGCATGGCTACCTCAGTCAGTGGAGCATGCGACTCTTGATCTCAGGGTTGTGAGTTCGAGCCCCATGTTGAGTGTAGAGATTACTAAAAAATAAATAAGTAAACTTTAAAAACAACAACAACAAAAACTAGCTGATGGGTGTTCATGTGTTACTGTTACTTAATAGTGAAACGATCAGTAGTTGCCTTTTATTATATACCTATTTAAGGCTGGGCAACTATACTATAGGTGTTGTTTATGAACTATTTCTAATAGTCATGATTTTCTCCAGATACCTTTGACATTATTCTGGTTTTTAGATGAGGAAGTTGAGACTCAAAGGTTAAGTAACTTGTTTAGGATTACACAGAGGGGAAAATGGGGTGCCAGAATTTAAACCTGGGGTGGTTTGGATTCAGACTGGGCTTTTGTTGTTGTTGTTCCTGTTATGTTTCAAACTCCTACTTTTTAAGTACTTAGAATAGAGAAGTAAAGCATATAAAGTATGTGAACTCCATCCATATGATTACTATCATTCATGTAATTCTCCCACTCGATATAATTAGGTTCGTAAATATGACACTATTTCCTGTACTATAATTTAGGTAATTATACTACTCAATTTAATTACCTTTGCAAGCTTGACATTGCATGTTGCATTAGATCTTTTCCACATGAGTTGGGCTCTACTCCTGGCTTCACTTCTGAGTTTCTGTGTGAATTTGAGAAAATTATACTTCTCTCTACCCCAATTTTCATATTTGTAATATTGGAATAATGAGCCTTTCAAGATTCTCCATAGGGACATTTTCTCCGTGGATAATTCCAGATGGAAGAAACACATCATCATCATTGTCACCAAGAGCTGAAATATTCAGTCAAAATAATCTTAGCAGAAAATGGGAGGAATAGATTTCTTTTAAAATCTACACTTATTTCCTTTTCTGGGAGAAGGGGTACAGTAATTCTATAATAACAGTATAAAACCTGTTATGTGCAATTCTAAATGAGAAAAATGTAAGAATATGGTATTGATTTTAGAAGTTGTAGAGGCTATTTTGTGTTGTTTTCTGTGACCATGTGAAAATTTGCCACTTCACTTTTTTTTTTAAACAGACTGATAAAAGGCTTTCATAATTTTCAATGGTAGCTATATACGCCTACGTACATGTATGGATATATGAATAAAGACACACACATGTATATGGATGTGAAAGCATTTGATAATTATACAGTAATTATATGCTATTTTCCTTTAGAGATTAAATTACGTATTTGATACCAGAATGCCATGAAATTAATAACAGAACAAAAAACAGCAACAAATACATGATGGATACATATAAAAATGGAAAAATATCAAAAGTCAGTGTGTCCAGATTTATTTTCAAATATACTATAAAATATTGAGGTGACTTGAAATGAGAAAGATTTTAGGGAAAAGCATATGTTTCTCTACTAGCATCACAGTATTAAAAACAAATCTATAAACGTAATCCCAGATTATAAATAAATATTTCCACTAGATTATTAACACCAAGGTTTTATAAATAAACTATAGTCTAATTTAGTATCATTTTATAATCCAGCTTCATTGGTTGAATTGAAGAAAACAGTTTTTTGTTTTGTTTATAAGTTAGCTAAAGTATAATCATTCAAATGCCTGACACTTCATTTTTAAAAAATAAATATATTTATTTTAATTAAAGTTTACACATGCATTTTATATATTAATCTGCATTTATAAACTAGACAGAGTAAAATCAATCTCACATTTCCTTGGTGACTTTCAAGCTCCATTTATTCATTCATATACTTGATATTAGTGAATGTCTAGCAACAGCTACTGTGTTAGATCAAAAATGGGAGGGATTAGAGGGAGGGAATGTACAAATGAATAAGACAAAGTCCCTGCCCTCAAGACATTCAGAGTCAAGAAAAGAAACACGTAAGGAACAGTTTACTGACTGTATATGAAAGCCTTTGATATAAAGATTAGCTTCATATTTTATAGAATATCCTTAAACTGTTTGTTGTTCTAGTTGGTATCGTTGCTAATCCACCATTAAGAGATTCTCCCAATGGTCCATGATATAGTAAAGAACTCTACCCCTATGGTCACTGTTCCACACGGCTATACTGCCACATAATTATTATAGCAAATTATTTCTTTCCTCTGGGAATCTCATGCTCTTGATATTATTGGCATCCGAAATTTTTGTCCTAGCAACCTAGAGCAATACCATAGGTTCCAGGAAATTGGGTCATCAAACATTTTGCAGATAATTAAAACAAATCTGTCCATCTTGGAGCATAATATATAAATTTTGTGAACTTTCATTATTTTTAAGGGGGTCCTAAAGCCAATTTTAGTTTCTAGTATACAATTTCTCTGGAAAGTGCTAGATAAATGAGGTTTTTGTTTTTGTTTACAAATATTTCCTTTTTCAAGCTTGGATCTAAGGCAAGATTCCATATAAAGTGCATTTTGTTTTGTTACACAGTATGATTACCAGCTCAGATAAAAATAAATTCTTTATCCCAAGAATTTGAGTTATGAAAAAATACTATTATTCATGAAATCAAAGCAATATGAACCAAACCTTATAGACTCCTAACATCTACACATACAGATAGCTTTCAAAAAATATTCATATTAAAAAGTAACAAATATTTAACAGCCTGCTGTATTATGGTAGTGAATATTTTGCTCAGTTTGACACCTTACTTTTCAGAACATTTGCTTATTATGAAGAAGTCTCACTTGTTATCCCTTAGTATTTACATTTCCTGGATGATCAAACTACTGTTTAAATAAACAGAAAATCATTTGTTCACATCTTGACTGTTTTTACTGAAGAAAGCAGCCAAGTGATTTTTGCTGTGATTAATTTGTTTGAGTGACGTATTTCAGAATTTAGAAATCATATTTTGTCCTGTGAGAATCATCGCTGCCATTTGCTAAACATTCATTTTATCTTTTTATTTAATTTATTTAGTCATTCACATTACAGCCTTCCATATAAAAGTCCATAATACCTGTCCTTTTAGGGCTCACAATATATCACAGGAGAACACAAATGAAACATGCATCTGCAACTGCCACACAATTTCCTAAGATGACCAGAGGCAAACAGATTGATAGGATGTTAGACTACATAAGGCCATGACCCATATTTATATAACACCATAAATGTCTGTCTTTTGAAGAAACCATCGTTAACACCAAACATCTGGACGAAAACTGAATATTTCGGTGACATATCTAGAGGTTTCTAAACATCTGGAATTTGTAGATTTAATACTCTGTTTTCATTTGTATCTGGGCGCTTGAAATACTGTAGACATTATCTAACAAATATTTATTCACATCTTTACCACGTGAAAACATGCGAAGAATAATTTCATTAAGTACAATTTGCAGATTTAATCACATGCCCTGTGATTAAATTTGGTCACAGCAGCTAGCTGGTAAGCCAAGGTAAACAGGCCCTAGAAAGACTTAACCAAGTAATTCAGTGGCAAAAGTCCGCAGTTGAACTGAAGAATTAGAACCAAGAATGCTCCGTAAGGTAAGGATGGAAAATGTGGAAAAGAAATACTCTTCCTGCCTGAATAGATTTATATCTGATTAAGAGAAGGAGTCCCTTAGCTATTTTCAAGAAGTGCACGGAAGCAGCAACCAGCTGACTATGCTGTTTCCATGGCCGTGCAACTTGGGGTTGGGAGGTACAGGGTGTGTGTTTAGGAGGATGAAGGGTGTTAGGACATATTCCATGACGAAAGCCTGAATTCTTGTTTGGAGGGCTGCCCTTCATGATTATCCTCTATTTTAGCACAATGTTTATGACCAATGAATCATTTCCTCACCTCTGTAATTTTCAGTTTTGAAACCTCTTTTTTTTTTCCTATTTAGAATGCTTGAGAATTAGGCTCACCAATGTAGTCATAAAATATTTACTATTTTGCATATTTTTAAACAAACTGAATACACATTAGCTACTGGGAGCCCTAGGCAAATTATATATTTCAAAAAAAAATAACTTTTTTGAGGCAACAAATGAAATTCTCCATAATAAATCATACGTCATGGGTATAATTACAAGCCAATAATAGCACATTTCTCCTTTCCAAAAATGCAACCAAAGTAGTCATTCACATGATGGTCAAAATTTTCAGAGGAGTGATTCCTTTTAGTTGACTTTTTAGAAATGTCACACTCATAATGGATGCTAACAACAATACCTCTTTCTGTCATACCTGAGGAAATTCAACTCAAATGGCTTATTTCAATAATACTAATTTACAGTGAAAATTCATTAATCCTAATGCTATTTCTTACACAATTAAAAAATAGGTGTGCCTTTTAGTTATTTTAAGTGAAATACTGGTTACCTAAGCATAGTATGAACATATGACTTCAGTAAATTTGTGTGGACACACCAAAACTAAATTAGGAAACTTTATCCTTTATTGTGTTAAAAAAATCCCTGACTAGCAAATCTTTAATACATAGAATTTGTGTATTCTGAGCCACTACCCGTACTTATTTTGTTCACACCCCTAGATCAACTAGAATGATGGCCTTTGTTCTCAACATTTTGACTAATCTCTGGAATGATGTTTAACAAGAGTTAGCAGCATATCACAGTCAGTATATACCATTTTGACTAACAGACTCTTCTAGTCATGATCTAATTAAGTGAAACCCATCAAATATAAGTATGTGGTTGAAACATAGGAACACACTATTTTTATCAGTACAGCAGAGTAATAGGCAACTTCCTATGTTTCAACCTAATGAAATTAATATTCTGATTACTTCTAGACAAGCTTAACTTCATTATTATAATATATATGAGCCTTCACTACACTCATCATTTCATTTACTAGATTTAGGGATCCTTCCTTAGACCTAGGATTATTTTAAGAAAGCGTAATAGTAATCATTACTATCGTATTCAAATGCACTGACCACAAAAAATAGTCAATAACCTAAATATCTGGAAAAAGTTCAAAAATTTAAAAACAAAACAAAACAAAAAACCAAAACTGTCCGGGGGCGCCTGTGTGGCTCAGTCGGTTAAGCGTCTGCCTTTGGCTCAGGTCATGATCCCAGGGTCCTGGAATCGAGCCCTGCATCAGACTCCCTGCTCAGCGGGGAGTCTGCTTCTCCCTCTGCCTGCTGCTCCCCCCGCCGCTTGTGCTCTCTCTCTGACAAATAAATAAATAAAATCTTAAAAAAATAAAATAAAATAAAATAAAATAAGATGGTGATCCTGTGATACAATGCACGTTATGTTTCAGAATGTTATTGTTGGTTTACTGATTAAGTATCAATTAATATATTTGTTTCCTTTTTGAAGAAATCGGGAAATAAAATGTGGCAATTCTGAGATTAAAAAGAATTATCCTTATCCTTTCATTATATCAATTTGATGAATGCTCATAGCAAGAATCTGTAGAGCAAATTTTAATAAAGTTTCTAAAATAAAGGCTCATTTTATAGGTGTGTGTGTGTATATATATATATAGATATAGAGATAGCAATATACAGATATGTATCTATATGTATATATACACATACCTTCATATATATGTCTGTGTATATGTATATATATGTGTGTACATATACATACACACACATACATACATATATGTATGTATGTGTATATATGTGTGTGTATGTATATATGTGTGTGTATATGTATATATACATATAGATACATATCTGTATATTACTATCTCTATCCACCTAATATTTAAAAAATTGATTTGTTATATATTCTCAAGGCTGTTTCAATAAGGGTAGGGCCTTATTTTTCTGAGATTTTTTTCTACATTATTTCATGTTTGGATATCTAT